TCTATCTATCTATCTATCTATCTATCTATCTATCATCTTCTGTTTCTATCATTGTCTATCTTCTACTTCTATATACTTCTGTCTATAACTATCTTCTGTTTCTATCATTTATTATCTATGATTGCCTATCTTCTAATTTCTATCCTGTCTATATCTTTTCCCTCTTTTCCTATTTCCATCATATCTCTCTTTCTCTTTCTCTCTCATCCACCCACCTATCTCTATCTAATTTCGCCCTCCATCACTCTCAGCTTTCCTGCTTTGTAGGTATGCCATCAACAGATTTCTTGTTAAGTCTTGATGAATTCTCAAGGCCTGGCCGCTTGTTGGTGAAGCCAGATTCATTTTCTCTTTGGTGCTGATTTAAATCTGGTATTCCATTTTGGACCTTTTCTGTAGCAAAGGCAATGACTTCTGTGGCCATCCTCATGAGTTTATTGACATTACAGGAAACTCTTGAAGAAAGAAGGGATTTTCAACTCCCTTTATCGAGTGCAGAAACTTCCTGATGGGACTACAGCATTGCCTATACTCAGTCAAAACTTCACAGCGCAGCACCTACAGCAGCTGAACGAGAGCATCCCACATGGAAAGGCCTGCACTCTGACATGGATCCATGTAAGTCAAGCTCTTCTTAAATTTGAGAAGAAGTCATATTTTTTGCCTAACACTAGATTTATCTCTGGAGCTGGAAATAGATACTGTCCCGTTTGCTTCTGATCATTCTTCCCCATACTTCCTTGTTTTCTTCCACCTTTTCTGCTTGCTTTACTTGATAAAACTGGTTGAGCTTCTTTGATGTAGCCATGGGTCTGGGCTGGTACTGGTGCTGGTGCTGGTGCTGCCATTGGCTTAACTGTTCCAATATCACCAAAGGGCTGACTTTATGTAACATAATGCTTTGGGAACCATTCGGGTTTTGATTAACACATTCAAAGTATTCTGCTTTTTAAATCTTTTATCATAAGCACCCATACAGCTCAGATGTATAGCTAAGATAACCAAGTTCAGAGAGCACCAAGGACCCCACACAGCTAAGATGTTTAGAAAGGATTTGGAAGTGAAGCAAGCTGTCTGTGTCACGGAGGAAACTAACCATTTATTTTTCTTTCTTAGAATCCTATTCCTTCGAAAGCAGTTATGGTACGTTCGCCTGTTCAGAAACTACACAGTGAGCTACAACACCTCATGTCAATCCATGGTGCTGCGTGGTCAGAAGAGTTAGAGAAAGATCTGCCACGGTCCTGGCAGAGGCATGGAGACCTTATTCTTCTAAGCGAGGATTGCTTTAGAGCAAAGCAGTGGAGAGAATTGGGTAAAGAATCATTTACTGAGATGGGCAGCTATAGAAATCGGTCAATCAAACAAACAAACAAATCACAAATATAATTTTACAATGGGAGATCCCTCTTCAGCAAAACCAGACTTTTATTCCTTATCTAAGATAAGTATTTTTGCAGAAAGAAACTGTGAGGAAGTGCAAGATTAAGTGCAACAGGAGAAGTTGTGATAACTGCAATTGCACATACTTGGGCTGAATTACAATGATTGGGCTTCATAATTGCCCTAAGCCATAGTTTATTTAACCATAGTTTGTTGAATAAACCACAGTGGGCTAAATTGGGCTAAATTCTTACCATGCATTAAACTAATGTGCAACAAACTATATTCAACACAGACAGTACATAGAAACAAAGCAGATAATATCCAAATAGGTGATAGAAGTCAATCTGGACTGATCTCCCCAAAGCTAAACAGAGTTAGTGCTTGAATGTGAGACCACAATGAAATATAAGAACTGCCACCTGAAGATAAGGTTACTCTTTATTCATCTGATGATACGGTTTCTTTTAGAAACTTGTTGTTAGTTGCGAAAGTCGTGTCCGACCCATTGCGACCTCATGGACAATGTTCCTCCAGGTCTTCCTGTCCACTTTACAATGCCTTGGTAAGGCCACAGTTGGAATACTGCATCCAGTTTTGGTCACCACGATGTAAAAAAGATGTGGAGACTCTAGAAAGAGTACAGAGAAGAGCAACAAAGATGATTAGGGGACTGGAGGCTAAAGCATATAAGGAACGGCTACTGGAATTGGTTATGTCTAGTTTAACGAAGAGAAGGACGAGGGGGGACATGATAGCAGTCTTCCAATATCTCAGGGGCTGCCACAAAGAAGAGGGAGTCAAGCTATTTTCCAAGGCACCTGAAGGCAGGACAAGAAGCAACGGGTGGAAACTCATCAAGGAGAGAAGCAACCTAGAACTAAGGAGAAACTTCCTGACAGTTAGAACAATTAACCAGTGGAACAACCTGCCTCCAGAAGCGGTGAATGCACCAACACTGGAAGTTTTTAAGAAGAAACTGGACAGCCTTTTGTCCAAAATGGTATAGGGTTTCCTGCCTGAGCAGGGGGTTGGACTAGATGACCTCCGAGGTCCCTTCCAACTTTATCATTATTATTACAAGAGGCTCCTGGTTGCTTTTGGTGTAACTGAACAACATTGTAGTGAGAAATGATGTCCCTTGCTCTCTGTTCTAGGCCAAGAACTTTGGCAGGTGGTTGCTGATGCTTTGGGGGCCCGGCGTTTAGCCAAACGGGGGCGAGTGCAGTCAGATTTCTTTCGCTCTCCTGCTGTGACCCTGTTGCTGGGTGAGGATGGTTGGGTTGAACAGGTGGATAATGGAATCAGGTAAGTGAGGAAAGGTTCTCCTTTACTCTTCTTTCCTTCACTTACATTTGAATAATGGAATCACACGAAAGATCCTAGACGTTCAAGTTTAATCAACAAAGTTGGTGGTGTTCACTAGTGCAGTGAACAATAGTCTTAAATTATAGGAAAGCAGATTCTGCTTGGAAGTTAAGATGAAAAAACCTTCATGATAGAGTATTTTGACTGTGGGAACTAGCTAGATTTCCTGGTAGTGGAGATCTTAAAGCAGATCACGCCTGTTAAAAGTGCCACGTTGTTTTTCCTATTCATGTAGTTTTCATTTCCCATGCTTTATGTATGTTTTACTCTGGATATGAAGTCATCTGATTTTTGTTAGTCCCTTTGGGAATTCTGTTGCTGGACAGGACAGAAAGATCTCTAAATAAGTTGATATGTTTCCAAAACAAGCAAAGATGAACATCTGCTTGGTTAACCTAAGCTGCCAATTTTTTGCTTCCATCAGGGCCGTGAGCCCTACCGGTTAGCAAAGCTTAGTCTTAGGCTAAGTATATGTCTTGGCAATTTAGGATGGCTGCCGAGTCTCCTGCATTCTGTGTTTTCTCCACAGATACAGCTTTGATGTGACCCAGTGCATGCTGTCTCCAGGAAACATTACTGAAAAGCTACGGATAGCCTCTATGTTATGCGCAGGAGAAGTAGTGGTGGATCTTTATGCTGGTAAATATGCTTTGATAACAGCAGAAACTGTTGGAAGTTCTGATTTGGGTACAAAGTGTTTCTGAATCTCAAGGATTCTTTGGAATGCAGAACCTGTGGGGCTGTTTGGACCAGTTAAAGAACAAGTGTGTTGGTTGGGTTTAAACCAGCGGTTCTCAACCTATGGGTCGGGACCCCATTTGGGGTCGATTGACCATTTCACGGGGGTCGCCAAGCAAGGCTGTCCGCCATTTTTCCCCCCTTTTCCGGCGGGTGCCTTACCTCCCTTGGGCTGGGCCAGCTGGTGGTCGGCCTGCTCCGTCTCTGCCGCTTGTCAGCTACGCCTCAGCCGGCACAGGGGGCGGAATCACGCATGTGCGGTGCTCCCGGGCAGGGAAAGTCCTCGACTTACGACCGGTTGGGTAGTCCTCGACTTACGACCGGTTTAGTCCTCGACTTACGACCGGTTTAGTCCTCGACTTACGACCGGTTGGGGGTCGCGGCATTAAAAAGGTTGAGAACCACTGGTTTAAACACATCTTACTAAGTTGTTGCAGGCCACAAGTATTGTGTACTTGCTCCACTCAATTCTGTTTCTATGGGATCAGCTATTAAGAGCTGTTGGTGCTTCAGTGGTACAGATAAAAGGTGGAGGAATGCTTGTAAGCAGCTGTTTGTTTAAATAAAGCTTAGAGGGCTGTCAATCAAAGATTGAACACTTTTTTCTCTGTCTTCTTTTCAGGGATTGGCTATTTCACTCTGCCGTACTTAATTCATGCTGGTGCTGCCTTGGTCCATGCTTGTGAGTGGAACCCTCATGCTGTGAAAGCTCTACGGAGGAACCTGTATCTGAACGGCGTTCAGGATCGGTGCCACATTCACCAGGGAGATAATAGAAAGGTGAGTAGAAAAGGCCTCAGAATTGACCCGGAAACCTTAAAGAACAGCTGCTGGTCTGAGTAGAATCTGAGCTAGGAAGACAAATCAATGCTTTGATTTGAGAAAATGTTTCCTCTGCTCTCTCTCTCCTTGGCTGGAGGTGGAACTACGGGATGTGGCTGACAGAGTCAACCTAGGACTGATCCCGACGTCGGAGGGAGGCTGGCCAGTCGCTTGCCAGGTCTTGAGAAAGGATGTGGGAGGGGTCCTTCACCTACACCAAAACGTGGAGACTTTTCCAGGAAAGGCACTTGAGTTGTTCCAGCAACCGGAGCAGAATCAGTCACCCAAGCAGGGTCCCTCCCAAGCAGTATCCCGTGGCCAAGAAAATCAAGTCGCTCTGGAGGACCACGATGCCCTCCAGAACGTTGGACAATCATCCACAACTTCAGCCAAACAAGAATGGCAGCGCTGGGCAGAAGTCACGGCCACACGGATCCGGGCTTTGCTTCAGAACCTGGACAGGAAACGGTGGAAAACCCAAATCTTGCATATTGAGCATGTGAAATCGTACGCCCCTCATGTAGACCATCTAGTCTTGGATCTAGATTGCCGGCCGCTGGAGTAGCGTATGGGGAATGTCTTCTCTCTGACTCGGGGGATCTTGGAAGAAGCAGGGAATGGTACCACATTCTGGATCTTCTTCATGAGCGGCTTCCCACTTTTTGAAACCAGAAGGTTGGTGGCTGGAAATGTCACATAATCTTGGGATTTTGCGAATGCAATCAGAACTGTGATGAATCCTTGAACCCTGACAGGAACCGAGAACATAAGTAGGCGATAGAAGTGATTTGGACAGCTAGTTGATGCCTGCTGGGTTCTACAAAATAAGCCAATCCTTCCAGACTTCTTTCTGAGCTATACTATTTGCTGGAGGTTCTGCATCGTATCGAATAACTTTTTGCTACTATAAATTCACATGGTTCTTTCCTGCAAGGTCTGCAAAATCAAGAGATTACAAACCACGTCAGCTAAATCCAGCCATTCGCACAAAAAACATTTGTCATTGCCATTGTTGGCAGAATAACCCAGAATAACTGTGTTCATGCATTAAATTAAACCGCAAACCGTTGCGTCTTGGCTCCCAGGGGTGGCTTCACACAACAGCTAGATAAAAGCAAGTCCATGCTGGTTTAATTGGCCTCGCGCCACGAGACGAGTGGCATATAAATCTGATACACAAATGAGAAGCCAGCCAATGTGGTTTTTCAGTGAACAAAAAGAGGAATAGCCAGTGCAATAACTAACATGGTTTGATTCTAATTCCTTTTGTCATGTTGTGAATGAGGAAGACAATTGCATGGTTAAAAACTGATCTTTGGGGCAGCCTTAATCTGACTTTATCTCCCTCTGAGATAACAATAGAAGCTGTGAACACCTAGTTAGGGCGATGTCTATGTTTAGTTTAAAGGGTTGTGGTTCTGTTTTTTTTATCGGAGCTCAGAGCTAATACCCAGAAAAATGAAAAGTGAGTCATATTAGCTAGCTTTTTGTTTGCTTTGTAGGTTACCACCTCTGTCACCTTTTCATACTAGGTTTGAACTAGAGCGCAGTTAGATTACAAGTCTTCGGTTGCTGATATGAAAGAGGACAATAGTAGGATAGAAATACTGAGTGTTATTGAATTTTTTGAGCAAAATGTCAGGGAAATGATCCCGAATATATAAATGTGTAAGAAATAACCCAGGCTGAGCTACCTCTGGAATTAGCTAATTCTACATGCCTTTTAAAACAAGCGGTGCAGATGTTAATCCAGGGGAAAACCCAAGAGACGGCATCTTCATATCCCTCTCACAGGTTTCCCACAGGTACTAAGTTGGTCAAGGTGTGGTGGTGGTGGGGGAGCTGTATGCAAATCCAGCCCAGGATCTTAAAAAAAAGGTCTAAAAATGTGTTAAAATGTCAGAACCCTCCATGTTCTGTTTTGCACTGGTCCACAAATGGAGGGGAGAATCTGCTGCACAGTCAAGTGACACGCCTGCCATTGTCAAACGTAGTGCTTGCTCCAGAGCAGTGGTTCTCAACCTTTTTAATGCCGTGACCCCAACCGGTCGTAAGTCGAGGACTACCCAACCGGTCGTAAGTCAAGGACTTTCCCTGCCCGGGAGCGCCGTGCATCTGTGGTTCCGCCCTCTGCGCCGGCCGAGGCGTAGCTGGCAAGCGGCAGAGACGGAGCAGGCTGACCACCAGCTGGCCCAGCCCAAGGGAGGTAAGGCACCCGCCGGAAAAGGGGAAAAAAATGGCGGAAAAAAAAATGGTGGACAAAAAAAATGGCAGACAGCCTTGCTTGGCGACCCCCGTGAAATGGTCGATCGACCCCAAATGGGGTCCTGACCCACAGGTTGAGAACCACTGCTCCAGAGCAAGACAGGAAGCAGGGCTGACCTGCTCCAAAGATGCAAAGATAAGCCCATCAACCCAAAGGAGGAAAAACAATCCTGTTTAGAGTTTCTCTAGCAATCTACATCACGCTCATTAGAACAGGGTTCTGTACCCCGCACTGCTAGAACGCTTCTGATATATTCTCGCACGCCTTACAAAAATTCAGAATAATGGCAACGAATGATACATGTACACTATGATTTTGAAAACCCCAAGTTTTCGCACCCCCTGGAATATCGTCTCGCATCCCTGGTTGGGAACCCCTGCGGTAGTAGAATAGTAGAATGGAAGAGAGCTGGAAGGGACCTTGGAGGTCTTCTAGTCCAGCCCCCCCATGCTCAAGCAGGAGAACCTATATACCATCTCAGTATTTAATATAGTTAAAGCTCTGAGATAAAAACTATTTTTCAGCCTATTGGTCTTTGTTTTTATTACCCTGTACCGTCTGCCAGATGGTAACAGTTCAAAAAAAAAAAAGAATATTGGGAATGAGATGAGTCTTTAGAAGGATGAGGAAGAAGAGGAGGAAAAGAAGGAGAGGAGGAGGAGGAGAAAAAGAAGAGGAAGAGGAGGAGGAGGAGGAGGAAGAAGAAGAAGAAGAAGAAGAAGAAGAAGAAGAAGAAGAAGAAGAAGAAGAAGAAGAAGAAGAAGAAGAAGAAGAAGAAGAAGAAGAAGAAGAAGAAGAAGAAGAGGAGGAGGAGGAGGAGGGGAGGGGAGGGGAGGGGAAAGAACAAGAAGAGAAAAGAACGCAGGCATCTAAAAGAAGAAGAAAAAGCAGGAGGAGAGGGAAAGGGAAAGAACAAGAAGAGAAAAGAAGAACACAGGCATCGAAAAGAAGAAGAAAAGAAGAAGAAGAAAGGGGAGGGAAAGGGAAAGAACAAGAAGAGAAAACGCAGGCATCTAAAAGAAGAAGAGGAGGAGAGGGGAAGGGAAAGAACAAGAAGAGAAAAGAACGCAGGCATCTAGAAGAAGAAGAAGAAGAAGAAGAAGAAGAAGAAAAGGAGGGAAAGGGAAAGAACAAGAGAAAAGAAGAACGCAGGTATCTAGAAGAAGAAGAAGAAGAAGAAGAAGAAGAAGAAGAAGAAGAAGAAGAAGAAGAAGAAAAAAGGGGAGGGAAAGGGAAAGAACAAGAGAAAAGAAGAACGCAGGTATCTAGAAGAAGAAGAAGAAGAAGAAGAAGAAGAAGAAGAAAAGGGAGGGAAAGGGAAAGAAAAAGAGAAAAGAAGAACCCAGGCATCTAAAAAGAAGAAGAAGAAGAGGAGGAGAGGAGAGGAAGGGAAAGAACAAGAAGAGGAGAAAAGAAGAACAACGCAGGCATCTAAAAGAAAGTCTCCGCGTAACGGGGACCTTGACGCGCCCCAAGGCAGCCGCCGCCGCCGCCGCCTTTCTCGGGAGGAGCGCGGCGCCTTTAAGCCGGGGGCTCCGCCTCGGGCTAAGGCGTGTTCCGGGGCTGCTCCAGCTGCCCTGGGCTGGCGCGGAGGAGAGCCTCGCGGGGAGCCGGCGGGTTGCAGGGACCCCTCTCTCCGCCCGCCTTCTGGGGGTCGGAGCTCCGGCCTTTCCCAGGTGGGCGCCTGTTCGTCTCCCACTTCCTCCTCTTGAACTCGTGTTGACGTTTTTCTTTCCCAAGTCCCGGATCTCGGTTTGTCCGGCGCCTGTGCAGAAGGGGGAGGGGGTGTCTTTGGAAAGGGAGCCCCCGCAGCCCCCGAGCGGGGTCGGGAGCCTTTCCCTTCGCTTCTGGACCGGCTCCGAAATGGGCTGGAAATGGGAGCTCCAATCCGGATTTGCAGCAAGCCCAGGCGCATTGCTGGCTAGTTGGTTGGGTACATTCTGGCCCGGGGTGGTCGATTTAGCGAACTCGGGTTTAGCAGGATGTTGGGGTGGTGGGTGGGAGGATGGGTGGTGGGTGGGGGTGGCACTCTGTGTAAGCTCAGAGGCACAGGTCGCGTAGGGGGTTTATTCGCCAACTTCCCCAGAAGTTTTGAGTATCTCCTTCCATGAAAGTCATTGCAGGAAACAGGTTTCAGCATTTGTGTATTTTTTTAAATAACATTCTTCTCGCCTCTCATCCTCCCCCCCCCCCCTCTTCTAAGTATTCTTAGTTGTATCCTGGTTCCTGGATTGGAATACCAGACTTCCATTTAGACAAGGATTGGGGCAGAAACTTGACTATCAATGCTGTATGGCAGTGGTTCTCAACCTTTTTAATGCCGTGACCCCAACCGGTCGTAAGTCGAGGACTAAACCGGTCGTAAGTCGAGGACTAAACCGGTCGTAAGTCGAGGACTACCCAACCGGTCGTAAGTCAAGGACTTTCCCTGCCCGGGAGCGCCGCGCATGCGTGGTTCCACCCCCTGCGCCGGCCGAGGCATAGCTGGCAAGCGGCAGAGACGGAGCAGGCCGACCACCAGCTGGCCCAGCCCAAGGGAGGTAAGGCACCCGCCGGAAAAGGGGGGAAAAACAGTGGACAAAAAAAATGGCGGACAAAAAAAATGGCGGACAGCCTTGCTTGGCGACCCCCATGAAATGGTCGATCGACCCCAAATGGGGTCCCGACCCACAGGTTGAGAACCACTGCTGTATGGTCTAATAACAAATTGTACCATTAACTATACGCATGTCTGTACAGTAGGTGCAAGTTCAGCCCTGTCTCTGACTCCACTTTGGAGTTTGTGACCGAGATCCTTTGAACCACCAATCATGATTAGTGAAGCATAATGGCCACATTTGCAGAACTTGCCATGCCCCACTGGAATGTGTAAAGGCTTAGTGCAATTTATGGCAGGGTATGATGTACGAGGTGCATGGAGCATGTCTGGGAAAAAAACAATGTCAGGTCAGCTGTACCTTTGGAAATGTGTGGTTTGGGGGGGAGGGGAAAGAAATTGTATCCGACGACCTCAAGCAGGTATTTAGGCTCCTTCCGAAGTGAGGGGACTTTGTGCATGCTCAGGAGCTGCAGCTTAACCTTTCTGCAAGACTAAACTGAGGCTGCTGTATCGATTTTTATCCCGCCTTTTTTTAGTTTGATAACTCAAGGCGGTGAATACACACAATACTCCTTCCTCCTATCTTCTCCACAACCACAAACCTTTGAGGTGGGCTGGGCTGGGAGGGAGGGACTGGCCCAAAGTCACCCAGCCGGTTTTCATGCCAAGGCAGGACTAGAACTTCCAATCTCCTGGTTTCTAGGACGGCACCTTAAATCCAGTAAGCTTGAGCGCCAGAACAGTTTTGTTAACTATGTATTGGTTTGCTTGTATGCAGCTTACTCCAGTGTGTCAGCTCCCAGCTATTGTATGCAAACAGTGGCTTGAGGATAATGTTTGTTACGATGGGTGAAGCCAGGCAATTCTGGTGTGTTCACTTAACCAAAGTTAACCCCACACACACAAAACTTAGCATTTGGGATGATTATTCTTTTGATAAAGCTATATTTGGTGTGGCGCCTTTCTCCCTTGTGTTAACTTCTCAAGAACTGGTGGGGAGTGACCTGCATTAGGGGCTAGCAAATTTGCTTGATTAACACTGTGCTTTTTTGATAATGTTGGGAGTCACAGAATTCCATGGAGGTGCCCTGTTTATGCTTTTTGGGGGCTCAATTCAGTAGCCCAAACTAGTAAACTAATAAAGTAGGAAGGTGGTGCAGAGACAGGAAGGCGGTGCAGAGAGTG